AGAGCTTAAGTATTTTTTGCTCGATGATGTAAGAAAGGCTAAGTTATGGGTTAATGTGCATCTCTTTTTATCTTGTTTCATTCTTCTTCTCTTCTCTCTCTAAACTCTTCTCTGTCTAAACTTTGTCTCATATCTTGATCTTCTGTCTCAAACTCTCTGTTCATTATCTCTCTCTGTTATCTCTCTTCTATCTCTCTTTCTGTCTCTTTTATTTTCTGTTAAACTCTTGATCTCTCTGTCTCATCTCTTGTATATCTCTGCTGTCTCAACTCTTCTTCTCATATCCTTCTCTGTTCATCTCTCTGATCTCTCGGCTATTCTCAGCATTCTGGCTCCAGACGAGGGGAGGCGGAGGAGAGCGACGAGAAAAGAGAGGGGGGGGGGAGAGCGAAGAGAGAGAGAGAGAGGAGGGAGGAAGGGGGGGAGCGAGAGAGGACAGGAGAAAGTGAGAGAGGAAGGGAGAAGAAGCAGAAGAGAGAGGAAAAAGCGAGAAGAGCAGAGCGAGAGGAGAGAGAGCGGGGAGAGCCCCCCCGGGGGGGTTTTTTAGGAAAAATGGCCCCTCCCCAACGGAAACTCCTCCTCTCTCTCTTCTCTCTCTCCTCTCTCTCTCTCTCTCTCTTCTCCCCTTTTCTCTTCCTCTTTTTCTCAGCATTTAAACAATTTGCTTTATGGATAAACAAAGGATTTTAATTTTTTAACATTAGGCCAAAAGTTTCTCAGGCCCTTAATCTGCTTAAATGTAACATCCAGGAGTCAAGTTGTGGGGATTTTGGAAAGGAGGGAGAGAAAAGAAGAGAAGAGGAGAGGAGAGGAGAGGAGAGGAGAGGAGAGGAGAGGAGAGGAGAGGAGAGGAGAGGAGAGGGAGAGGAGAGGAGAGGAGAGGAGAGGAGAGGAGAGGAGAGGAGGGAGAGGAGAGGAGAGGAGAGGAGAGGAGAGGAGAGGAGAGGAGAGGAGAGGAGAGGAGAGTGATATGTGTCGGTAAAGCAGTCTAAAGCTCTGTTGGTGTTTTCTATATATCTATCAATCCAAAGTAGAAAAAACAAACAGAAGCTGAATCCAGCTCAACTATTGTTCTTTTGGGACGATCTAAAGCTTTTCGGAGTCTTTGAACAAACAACTGTGTCCCGTGGAAGGATTTCAGGGCAGTTTCGGTGTTTGTTTGCGATTATATAAAGCCTCTTCGCACCAACTCACAGACACACAGATACTCGGGCATGCACACACAGACACACAAACACAAGCATCCTTTCTCTCTCTCTCTCTGAAGTGAGAACAGTGTGCAGAATTTAAATTGCACTTGAGAATTCAGTTTGTCTGTGTAATTGTATCTTTTCACCTAGCCTGCACTGCATTGCAGATTCATCAGATTCCGTTTCAACTCTCTTTGTTTCCTTTCACAAGGTCATATTCCATCATGAAGCAGTTTCAGGAATGTTTCCCCTGTGACGCTCGCTGCCGCGCTTACAATGGATTTGTTTCCCCCTTTACTCCAACGTGCTTGTTTCCTTGAGCACCAGTTCCCTTCATTGTGGGGCTGAAAACCATCATAACCTATGGTGTTACCTAGGCTTCAGTGACCAGGCTACAGGGTTTGAGGTTTACCCACTTTAGGATGTAAGTAGCCTTGTCCAAGCCATAACAGCCCATAGGGTCTGCTGTTTCTGTAGTGTGAGGCAGCTTGGTGTACACCACCTGTACAGGACCTGGACAGGACACTAGTCTCGCAGGGCCTTACCCCCAATCCATCTCCCTATGCTGACTGCCAAGCAGATGAGCATTGGGTCCCATTTCCCATTTTGGTCTTTGGGATTACTCAACTGGGGATTGAACCCCCAACTTCACAATCACTGGGCGGACACACTAACCACAAGGCCACTGAGTTGCTTCTATAGGATGATTCGTGATAAACACTAAACAGTTTGTTTCTTGACTTAATTGTTTTCAATTTTGTTAGACGTGGCTGCAGACATTCGTACATGTCCATGGCTTGTAATGTCATCCAAAATGATATAATTTAGATGAAATGTCCCAAAATACATTCTGGATGATTGATGTTAATTGTTTTGTTTTGGCCAAGGTGTCCCTTTTAATAGTCCATGGGACACAGGAAGAATGCTTCTGCAGCCAGACCTGATGATGGCTGACGTGTGTCCTCTTGTGTGTCCTGTGGCTGGTTCCTTTCTACAGCTGCCCTCCTTCCTCTCTCTCTCTCTCTCTCTCTCTCTCTCTCTCTCTCTCTCTCTCTCTCTCTCTCTCTCTCTCTATCTCTCACTCTCTCTCTCTATCTCTCACTCTCTCTCTGTCTCTCTCTCTGTCTCTCTGTCTCTCTCTCTGTCTGTCTGTCTGTCTGTCTGTCTGTCTGTCTGTCTGTCTGTCTCTCTCTCTCTCTCTCTCTCTCTCTCTCTCTCTGTCTGTCTGTCTGTCTCTCTCTCTCTCTCTGTCTGTCTGTCTGTCTGTCTGTCTGTCTGTCTGTCTCTCTCTCTCTCTCTGTCTCTCTATATCTTTCTCTCTCTCTCTCTCTCGCTCTCACTCTCTCTCTCACTCTCCCTCTCTATCTATCTCACACCCTTTCTCTCTCTCTCTCTCCCTCTCTTTCTGTAGAGCAACACACTATTGCTTCAAGAGACAAGAGAAATAACATCAGTCAGGATACAGGACACATATTTTGTGCAGCAACAAATGATGTAAAAAAGATAACCGCCAGTCTTCATTCCAAACCAGCCGTACGGTTAGGTCCTATCTGATAGGCCTTACAAGGCACAGAGTGTCTGGACAAAGGAAACTGCCTCCGCTCAGAAAGGAACTATTATTAGCAACTTCTTCAGAGCCATTTCACCTGAAAATTAACAAGAATGATCTCCCCCATGCACACCACACACACACAAACACACAAACACACAAACACACACACTTCACAAGCATCGAAACAATAGCAGTTCAAATGTTTAATTTGTGCCAGACATTGATCCACTCCCATAGAAAGAGGAACACAGGATTACCATTCTAACTGGTTGTTGTGTGGTTGTGCAGGAGGCAGGTCTAAATGGTGATACCGTAGTTGCTTCACAGACTAATCTATCAGTGTATTGTACTCTATTCTATTTTATAAACTGGGTGGTTCGAGCCCTGAATGCTGATTGGCTGACAGCTGTGGTATATCAGACCATACACCACGGGTATGACAAAACAATAACAATAAGGCGGAGGATGTGGTATATAACTAATCTGTCAATGTGTTGTACTCTATTCTATTGTATTACGTTAAAGGCTAAAGTGGTCCCGAATGTCCTTTTTGATATTGTTGTATCATGTGTCATGTAGTGTGTGTGTGTGTCTTTGTGTGTGTTTGTGTTCTGTCTCAAACATGTTCCATATTATTGTGGTGGCCCCCACAATAGTATGGCATTGGTTGAAGCTCAATGTTACATCCAAATCTCCCTACCATCATATCTAAGCAAATATGACACCAATGTCGATGAATATTCGCAGGTGGTACACAACACACTCCCTGCCTCTCGTCATGAGCCGTTACCGAGAACCACATACCGGATTTTTAACAGGGTTGTTAGCATTAGTAAAACAATTAAAAATCTTGCCCCAACCGGGCGTTGGATAAGAACAAGACTACAGCGTCCATAAAGTGACCATTAGACTTGTCACCTTTCAGACTGAATATGTTTGTAGGGGCAACAGTTTTGATTACATTTATAATTAATCGCTCTCGCATGCTCATTTCTGTCCATTAAGAACAAAAATGTGCTAGCTTTTTGTAGCGTTTCTGACAATGCTAACATCTTTTTAGCCAAATCTCAGAGTTCTAAAACCGGACCGAAGAACTTTGGTTGTGCAACACCAGCGCTAGTAGCTAGCTAACACCAGTTGAATGAGAGGCAAGCTACAAGCAAAATAAGCTATATTTTGCTATGGAAGGTTTTTCACATGGGCTGAAGTCATCTGTGTAAACTGTTGGCCTTGACACTTGCGTGTATTCAGAGCACAAACTAAATATGCACAAATAATATAGCGAACGTCATTGGCTGCTATTGTAGTTAGCCAGTATCATTAGCTAGCTAGCTAAAAGCCAACACGGCTGTAACATTAGCTGTATGGTCAGATCGTGCACCGGCACAACTCAATGTTGACAATATCTCCCACATTCTTCCACAAACCACAGCTAGCTAAGTAAAGTTCAAAGTTCAAAGTTCACAATAAGCTTTTGCCACGCTACTAATGTGTAATATATGTAATGGGCCATTGCTCATCTAACGTTAACGTTAGATAACTTTACTCCATACACTAGTCAACCTTGCTTGCTTAGCAATGTAGCTAGCTAACGTTACAGTCCTTACCTTATGCATTGATTCAGTACACTCCCTACTCTGTCAATACCATTTTCTTCTTGTGATTGTAATCCAAATTTGCGTTGACTGACTAACACAGTGTCAAGTTACTTTTCAATGTATTTTCAAAAACCTGAAGTCGCCATCCAAGTAAAAAGTAGCCAGGGGGGGTGCGGGTGCACCCAGGTTAAACAACACCAACATCATTGCTTGCTTGCACAACCTTTGTGCAGTCAAAATAAAACTCCATGCTTGCTAACCTGGTTAGCTGTGTGACTGTTTTCAACACATCAACTGTTTTAGACAAATGTTTTTAACCAAGCAAGATAAATAAACGTTTAATCAGTACTGAGTGAATGAACAACAACAAAAGCTTCCTGTCATCACCAGACTGGCCATTTAAATATAGTGTCAAGATAATGCGTTCATGACAGGGTTCATACCGTAAGCGTTAATGTCACTGCCATGGGATCTGAAGGTCCTGTGTTCGCCTCTTGTCGGGAACATTTTGACCATTGTCTTTTGTGTGTAGTTTTGACACCCCTCTCCCAGTCACGACACACACACACACACACACACACACCGACACTGGCCCGCACACGCACAGTGTGTGCTTATTTTTTAATATTAGGTGGCATAAAAGAGCATCGTTCAGTGGCAATGGACAGGAAGTGTGGTGTGTGTACTACTGAGGAGAGAACAGTGGAGACCTGAGAACTCTCAACTCTCAAGGAGTACATCATTGCCCTTATCCGTCAGATGCACTTCACCCCTATGGTACGTCCCAGGGACACACTGCTTAATGGCAGGGTGGCGGATTGTGTTCCCTGAAATGCGTACACCAGCTGATTGATGGAGCGCCGGGCCCTCTCTATGCACTTGTTTATCTTCTGATCCCACGTGAACAACCAGCTCCTCCGCTGCGTGATATCAGAGAAGACCACCGTTGTCCTGGGAAACATTTGGATGACCACGTCTAAATCCACGAATCTGTCGCACCGGTGCCGTCCCCTTGGTTCATCCCAAGCAGAGGTCTTCACGGATCCACTTGTACCCGAATACATGAGACCTGATCCAGGACCTGAGCGGGTCCACATCCAGAATTCTAAATAATGTCACAGGTATGGGTCGGATCTGATATGATTGTCACGGGTCTCGTGTATGAGTACTTTTAACTGACTTGTCCGGAAGGGCCCATACATATCCGAAAGTGACTACTGCAGTCGAGAGAGAGAGCTCGTTGTTGTTGTTGGCCAATCATAAGTCATCAAAGCGGCAATGGGCTAAAGTCATAGAGCTTCTGTGTGTGTCTATATGGAATGGGTCTAGTTGTCCTCGGGCTGTTTGCAACGGGTCTCTATATATTTTTTATTATTATGCATATCGTGAAAGCCCCAGGTCCATTTCAGAACGGTTCAATAATTTTGACCCGTGAAGACCTTTAATCCCAAGTCGTTTCCACCAAGATGGATAACTAGGATGTCAGGGGGACCTTTAATAAACCTTTATTTAACCAGGTAAGCAAGTTGAGAACAAGTTCTCATTTACAATTTGCGACCTGGCCAAGATAAAGCAAAGCAGTGCGATAAAAATAACAACAACACAGAGTTACATATGGAATAAACAAAAATGTACAGTCAATAACACAATAGAAAATAGAAAATATATATACAGTTTGTGCAAATGTAGTATGTTATGGAGGTAAGGAAATAAATAGGCCATAGTGCAAAATAATTACAATTTATTATTAACATTGGAGTGATAGATGTGCAGAAGATGATGTGCAAATAGAGATACTGGGGTGTAAATGAGAAAAACAAATAACAATGTAAATAACAATATGGGGATGAGGTAGTTGGGTGGGCTAATTACAGATGGGCTGTGTACAGGTACAGTGATCGGTAAGCTGCTCTGACAACTGATGCTTAAAGTTAATGAGGAAGATAAGTGTCTCCAGCTTCAGAGATTTTTGTAGTTTGTTCCAGTCATTTGCAGCAGAGAACTGGAAGGAATGGCGGCCAAAGGAGGTGTTGGCTTTGGGGATGACCAGTGAGGCTAGGCTAGGCATATTGACATGGGAGATAGGCATAAAGCAATCACAGGTGTTATTCGAGAGGGCTAAGACAACAACTGGTAATGGCAACGAAAGTTTGGGCTGAGGCTAAACAGATAAACAGGATGGGTACTGTGTAAAGGAACAGCAGTGGCCATCAGATGTGTAGCTGAGTGATCATAAGGTCCAGTGAACAGCAATAGGTAAGTCTGGGAGCAGTTCGTAGGCTGCTACAGCACAGGCGAGCAGGAGGCACGGCTGTTGATTGCACGTGCTAGCGGGCTCGGTACTAGCAGATGGATCTTCGTGGTCGTCACAACGGGAAGCCTGTTGAAACCACATCAGACGATTACATCGGCAGACCAGTCGTGATGGATCGGCGGGGCTCCGTGTCGACACTAGGAGGTCCCGTCCGGTTGACAGAGAGGTGGATAGCCGGCAGATGGGCCTGGCTCGAGGCTAGCTCAAGGCTAACTGGTGCTAGCTTTGGGACAAGTGGTGATTAGTGGTGATTAGCCAACAACAACATCCATTCGTTTGCAGCTAGCTAGTTGTGATGATCCGGTGTTAAGGTCCAGTGATTCAGTGATTCCGGCAGAAAATCCAAAATGCTCTGGGTCGATAATTGTCTGGTAGCTGGTAGGTAGTGCAGGCCACGGACATTGGTGAAGACCGCTAACGGTGGCTAATAGCAATAGCTAATAGCAAGTAGCTAGTTAGCTGGCTAGCTGGCTAGTTTCAGCCGTGGGTTCTTGATAAAAGGAAATAATAGAATCCGTTCCAAATTGGGTGAGGCGGGTTGCAGGAAAGTATATTTAGTTAAGGATGGAAAGTGAGATAGAGAAATGTATACGAAAAAACAAAAGAACAGGCTATTTACACGAGGACACAACATAATACACGACCGCACTGCTATGCCATCTTGGATCCCATGCTTCTTGGAGCCACCTTGTCCCTGAACCCTCTATTGTCTGAGCAGTAATGCAAGGAGGGGATTTTAAAAAATCTAACACACCCCTGGTTCTCTCCCTCTTACCCATCTCTTCCTCCTGCCTCCCCTGTCTCGGGGTCCTCAGCCGTGTTGTCTTGGGGTCCTCAGGCTCACTGCACAGGGCTGGTTTTAATTAAACTGCCTGTCACACCATATCACGCCGCGCCGATCAGACCTGACCAGGGACCTGGCTCAGGGGAGAGAAGACCGTCGGCAGCAGACGTAAATTACTTCAGACACCAAGTGCAGGGAGAGTAAGAGTCACATCCAAGATGCTGCTCCCTGCTCCATACCATCTCAGCAGCATTCATCTCCTGTTAGGCTACTGTAGCTGGAGATCTGTCTCACTATTAACAGGCACTTCCTGGGTCCTGAGTGACTGTTATTCACTGCCAACAATGTGTGTTATTCTAAGACACACACACACACACACACATGCACACAACCACACACACACACACACATCTCTTAAAGTCATACCATGCACCTACTCTTAAGAGTAGTCAGTCAGTATAATGTGAAGTATTTAATTTGCTCTGAGAGATTTGGACTGAAGTTGAGCAGGGTCAAAAGCTCCTTACTCAAATAAGTTGTTTTTCTCTCCCCTGATGTGCCCACACACTCTCTCTCTCTCTCTCTCTCTCTCTCTCTCTCTCTCTCTCTCTCTCTCTCTCTCTCTCTCTCTCTGTCTCTCTCTCTCGCTCTTCTCTCTCTCTCTCTCTCTCTCTCTCTCTCTCTCTCTCTCTCTCTCTCTCTCTCTCTCTCTCACACACAGACAGACACACACTCACACACTCTCACACACACACACACACACACTCACACACTCACACAGTGAGAGAGAGTTATGAGGAAGGGCACTTTGAGGGGAGGGAGTTCTCTTCCTGTCGTGGGAGCGAGAGCGTGTAAAGGTAATTTTTTTAATGGAGGAAGCAACTGTTGTGATTTATTCAAAATATGACACTGGTAATATCGTCATAACATCTAGTAGCAGTGGGGCATTAAATAAATCAGACTGTTTCGTCTGCTTTATACACCACCCTCTGCAAAATGCATGATGGGTACTAATACATCTGTTTTTACTGTCTGTTCCATTAACTCTGCATTTGATGGTTATTGTTCAGTGTCAGAGCCCAGAACCCCCGATCCCAGGCCAGTGTAGCTGAGCTCTGAGCAGCGGTGTGAATAATACAACTCAAGAGGTGTATTTCAGTTAGTCCCAATCCCAGATTTCCCTCCGAGCCCTCTAGATTTTTTACATCTATGGTAATCAGGCACAAAATGCAAGGCAAGAAGCAGAACAGCGATAGCGGCGTTTCATGAGATTTACAGGCAGGAAATGTCCATGGTGGTGAACTAGTATGTAAATTCATATGATCGAATGTGACGTTATATATGAACTGGAAACGACGCGTATGTAAAATGCCATATAGATGATGGAATAATATCGACATTGTGACATTTTTATTACCCCGGTCGTAGACTGTCATTGTCACAAGCACTTTCCAATGGTGTTTTGTTCTCTCCTCCGTTTCTTCACTCTCTCCATCCTGTAGCCGAGTGTGGTTCGTCGGTCATAAACAATGAGGGGATCATGTTGTCGCCAAACTACCCGATGAACTACGAGAACAACCATGAGTGCATCTACAGCATCCAGGTGCAGGCTGGGAAGGGAATCAACATCTCTGCCAGGACCTTCCATCTGGCCCAGGGGGACATTCTCAAGGTACTGCTCTCTCTCTCTCTCTCTCTCTCTCTCTCTCTCTCTCTCTCTCTCTCTCTCTCTCTCTCTCTCTCTCTCTCTCTCTCTCTCTCTCTCTCTCTCTCTCTCTCTCTCTCTCTCTTTCTCTCTCTCTCGGTCTCCCTTTCTGCTGGAGTGTATGTGTATGGCACGCCAGTGATGGTCAAATGACACTCAAGCATGTGGATTCTGTCCATGGTAGTAATCCTTGTCCGAGACAGAATGGCCCTTAGGGCAGGAGCGTGAGGCAGCTTGATGTGTAAGTAACAGTACACCCCCTGGACAGGACGCTAATGTGGATTCTGACCATGGTACTTGAGAGACAATTCTGCCAAAAAAAATAGTCCTCCTTTGAATATTTAGTCAGTAACCAGTGCCATGGATTCTTTAATCTCATAAATGGCCTTATGCAGGCTACAGCAGCCTGGAATCTGAACTGAATATCACTCCATTTCACAATTGAAGTGAAACAATTGTAAAACTCAGATATTCCATTTGTATTCCAGGCTATAGCTACTGCCCAATATGAAACAACAGAATTGTTGATCCATGTGTTGATTTATTTTGACTAAGCCTCTTGTTAAGATAGAAGACCTGTCAACCTATTGACACTACATAAACTGATAGAGCGGCAATGGAGTCAGAGGTTCAGGTGCAAAAATAGGTGATATTTATTTTACAGTGATGACTGGATCCAGGGGTTATTTAAGCAATAACGCCCAATGAGGTGTGGTATATGGCCAATATACTACGGCTAAGGGCTATTCTTATCACGACGCAACGCGGAGCCTGGACACAGCCCTTAGCTGTGGTATTTTGGCCATATACCACAAAACCCCAGAGGTGCCTTATTGCTATTATAAACTGGTTACCAAGGTAATTAGAACAGTAAAAATAAATGTTTTGTCAGCCAATCAGCATTCAGGACTTGAACCACCCAGTTTATAATTACAAAATATACAAATGCTAAACCATGATGGAAAAGTAGTTGACAAAAATACAGCTATGTTGCAAAAGCAAACTTACTTGATCTCTATAGCAATAGCAATAACTTGACTCAAGCATAAAAGGTCAAAAAGCCTATAAATTGACAGAGTGTCAATGGAACAAGCCACACAGCTGAGCTCAGTATTAGCTGGCAGAGCTCTGTAACAATATAATTACCTGAAGAGCAGCTCTCCTTGAATGAAGAATGGGCATCATTAACAAGGACCTACTCTCACCTGTCATAAATCATTAGCACCTCTTAACAGGTAGCCTACATTCTCATGGGGATGATAATCAGACTAAAAATGCAATACTAGGCTATTATACTTAACAACAAAAACAAAGACATACTTTGCTTAAAGATAACATTTTAAAATATCCCTGAAACGGGAAAAACCTATTAAAGAGAGGTCCTGTGGATTTTTGAGCTACCCTTGCTGTTTGTACTGTATTTAACATATATTGGCAGTTATTTTATTGAAAGCCCATAGTGTCTATGTACAGTAGCTCTATCAGTTTATGTAGTGTCTATGTAGCTCTATCAGTTTATGTAGTGTCTATGTAGCTCTATCAGTTTATGTAGTGTCTATGTAGCTCTATCAGTTTATGTAGTGTCTATGTAGCTCTATACGTTTATGTAGTGTCTATGTAGCTCCATCGGTTTATGTAGTGTTTATGTAGTTTTATCAGCTTATGTAGTGTCTATGTAGCTCTATCTGTTTATATAGTGTCTATGTAGCTCTATCTGTTTAATTTGGTTGTTGTCATCTATGTTATGTTGTCTGTAAATGTTGATGGTTTAATGGTGTCTTTAACTCAGTGATCTTGAACTAAAGTTAACTCTTCTCTGCAGATCTATGATGGTAAAGACAGCGCTGCTCATGTCCTGGGGGCGTTTACAGGCTCAGCCATGCTGGGTCTCACCCTCATCAGTACCTCAAACCATCTGTGGCTGGAGTTCTACTCTGACCCGGAGTCCACGGGAGAGGGCTTCAAGCTGGTCTACTCTAGTAAGTTACCAAACAGTCTTCAAGCTGGTCGTACTCTAGTAAGTTACCAACCAGTCTTCAAGCTGGTCGTAGTCTAGTAAGTTACCAACCAGTCTTCAAGCTGGTCGTACTCTAGTAAGTTACCAACCAGTCTTCAAGCTGGTCGTAGTCTAGTAAGTTACCAACCAGTCTTCAAGCTGGTCGTAGTCTAATAAGTTACCCACCAGTCTTCATGCTGGTCGTACTCTAGTAAGTTACCAACCAGTCTTCAAGCTGGTCGTACTCTAGTAAGTTACCAACCAGTCTTCAAGCCGGTTGTACTCTAGTAAGTTACCAACCAGTCTTCAAGCTGGTCGTACTCTAGTAAGTTACCAACCAGTCTTCAAGCTGGTCATACTCTAGTAAGTTACCAACCAGTCTTCAAGCTGGTCGTAGTCTAGTAAGTTACCAACCAGTCTTCAAGCTGGTCGTAGTCTAGTAAGTTACCAACCAGTGTTCAAGCTTGTCATACTCTAGTAAGTTACCAACCAGTTTTCAAGCTGGTCGTTCTCTAGTACGTTACCAACCAGTCTTCAAGCTGGTTGTAGTCTAGTAAGTTACCATCCAGTCTTCAAGCTGGTCGTACTCTAGTAAGTTACCAACCAGTCTTCAAGCTGATAATACTCTAGGAAGTTACCAACCAGTCTTCATGCTGGTCGTACTCTAGTAAGTTACCAACCAGTCTTCAAGCTGGTCGTACTCTAGTAAGTTACCAACCAGTCTTCAAGCTGGTCGTACTCTAGTAAGTTACCAACCAGTCTTCAAGCCGGTCGTACTCTAGTAAGTTACCAACCAGTCTTCAAGCTGGTCATACTCTAGGAAGTTACCAACAAGTCTTCATGCTGGTCGTACTCTAGTAAGTTACCAACCAGTCTTCAAGCCGGTCGTACTCTAGTAAGTTACCAACCAGTCTTCAAGCTGGTCGTACTCTAGTAAGTTACCAGCCAGTCTTCAAGCTGGTCGTACTCTAGTAAGTTACCAGCCAGTCTTCATGCTGGTCATACTCTAGTAAGTTACCAACCAGTCTTCAAGCTGGTCATACTCTAGTAAATTACCAACCAGTCTTCAAGCCGGTCGAACTCTAGTAAGTTACCAACCAGTCTTCAAGCTGGTCGTACTCTAGTGAGTTACCAGCCAGTCTTCATGCTGGTCATACTCTAGTAAGTTACCAACCAGTCTTCAAGCTGGTCGTAGTCTAGTAAGTTACCAACCAGTGTTCAAGCTGGTCATACTCTAGTAAGTTACCAACCAGTTTTCAAGCTGGTCGTACTCTAGTACGTTACCAACCAGTCTTCAAGCTGGTTGTAGTCTAGTAAGTTACCATCCAGTCTTCATGCTGGTCGTACTCTAGTAAGTTACCAACCAGTCTTCAAGCTGATAATACTCTAGGAAGTTACCAACCAGTCTTCATGCTGGTCGTACTCTAGTAAGTTACCAACCAGTCTTCAAGCTGGTCGTACTCTAGTAAGTTACCAACCAGTCTTCAAGCTGGTCGTACTCTAGTAAGTTACCAACCAGTCTTCAAGCCGGTCGTACTCTAGTAAGTTACCAACCAGTCTTCAAGCTGGTCATACTCTAGTAAGTTACCAACCAGTCTAAATGCTGGTCGTACTCTAGTAAGTTACCAACCAGTCTTCAAGCTGGTCATACTCTAGTAAATTACCAACCAGTCTTCAAGCCGGTCGTACTCTAGTAAGTTACCAACCAGTCTTCAAGCTGGTCGTACTCTAGTAAGTTACCAGCCAGTCTTCATGCTGGTCATACTCTAGTAAGTTACCAACCAGTCTTCAAGCTGGTCATACTCTAGTAAATTACCAACCAGTGTTCAAGCTGGTCATACTCTAGTAAGTTACCAACCAGTTTTCAAGCTGGTCATACTCTAGTACGTTACCAACCAGTCTTCAAGCTGGTTGTAGTCTAGTAAGTTACCATCCAGTCTTCAAGCTGGTCGTACTCTAGTAAGTTACCAACCAGTCTTCAAGCTGATAATACTCTAGGAAGTTACCAACCAGTCTTCATGCTGGTCGTACTCTAGTAAGTTACCAACCAGTCTTCAAGCTGGTCATACTCTAGTAAGTTACCAACCAGTCTTCAAGCTGGTCGTACTCTAGTAAGTTACCAGCCAGTCTTCATGCTGGTCGTACTCTAGTAAGTTACCAACTAGTCTTCAAGCTGGTCATACTCTAGTAAATTACCAACCAGTCTTCATGCTGGTCGTAGTCTAGTAAGTTACCAACCAGTCTTCAAGCTGGTCGTACTCTAGTAAGTTACCAACCAATCTTCAAGCTGGTCATACGCTAGTAATTTACCAACACGTCTACATGCCGGTCGTACTCTAGTAAGTTACCAATCAGTCTTCAAGCTGGTCGTACTCTAGTAAGTTACCAACCAGTCTTCAAGCAGATCGTACTCTAGTAAGTTACCAGCCAGTCTTCATGCTGGTCATACTCTAGTAAGTTACCAACCAGTCTTCAAGCTGGTCATACTCTAGTAAATTACCAACCAGTCTTCAAGCTGGTCGTAGTCTAGTAAGTTACCAACCAGTCTTCAACCAGTCTTCAAGCTGGTCATACTCTAGTAAGTTACCAACCAGTCTTCAAGCTGGTCGTACTCTAGTAAGTTACCAACCAGTCTTCAAGCTGGTCATAGTCTAGTAAGTTACCATCCAGTCTTCAAGATGGTCGTACTCTAGTAAGTTACCAACCAGTCTTCAAGCTGGTCGTACTCTAGTAAGTTACCAACCTGTCTTCAAGCTGGTCATACTCTAGTAAGTTACCAACCAGTCTTCATGCTGGTTGTACTCTAGTAAGTTACCAACCAGTCTTCAAGCTGGTCGTATTCTAGTAAGTTACCAACCAGTCTTCAAGCCGGTTGTACTCTAGTAAGTTACCAACCAGTCTTCAAGCTGGTCGTGCTCTAGTAAGTTACCAGCCAGTCTTCATGCTGGTCGTACTCTAGTAAGTTACAAACCAGTCTTCAAGCTGGTCATACTCTAATAAGTTACCAACCAGTCTTCATGCTGGTCGTACTCTAGTAAGTTACCAACCAGTCTTCAAGCTGGTCGTACTTTAGTAAGATACCAAACAGTCTTCATGCTGGTCATACTCTAGTAAGTTACCAACCAGTCTTCAAGCTGGTCGGACTCTAGTAAATTACCAACCAGTCTTCAAGCTGGTCGTACTCTAGTAAGGTACCAACCAGTCTTCAAGCTGGTCATACTCTAGTAAATTACCAACCAGTCTTCATGCTGGTCGTACTCTAGTAAGTTACCAACTAGTCGGAGAGCAGTGGTTCTGGTAACTCTTATTATAATAACTTTCTTTTTTTTGTAAGATTGTATTTCGTTTTTACAGATTTAATTAAACAATAAACACCAACTCAACATTTCCACAGAGAGTTCCACAAAAATAGACATGACATTGACTAATAATTACTGCTTAAGAGTAAAAAATAAACACAAAGACGAATGAATATTAATAGTAATTATAATAACTTTAATTATCAAGCAATTATAAGGCTGTTAATGATTTGCTGAACATTTGTAAATTGTTTACAAATTGTAACACATGAGTTATAAATGATCTACTAATGGCTTATTATTTAACGTTTTTATAAAATGTTACCTTGGTTCTTAATGATCCAGAGAGGGATGTGGGTTATCCTATGATTGATTGCCCAGACACACTGATTTAGATAAGACCCTAATAAAAGGCTCAACTCATAATTAGGAAGGTGTTCCTAATGTTTGGTATATTCAGTGTATAATCATATCATCACTTATTTTCCCACTCGTATCAGCCTCTAAAGAAATCTGTTGACAGCCTGTAGTGGATTTAAGGGATTAAACCACAGCTTGGTCCAAGGTAGTATCAATTACCTGAAATAGAGCCGCTACGCTGGTCTTTGTTGACCTCGTCCTAGCCCCCCACACAAAATCAGACTTTGTATTAGCACAGACACATAAAAACACAGCTAGCCTGTGTTAGTGTGTTAGTTCTGAGAGAGAGAAAAGAAAGATTAACCTGCTGGTGGGCTATCTCATTTGAAATCTACAAAATCTGTGTCTGGTGGGAGATTTCATTCCACTTGCAGGATTAGCTGTTTGATTGCATCATAAAGGTCAGTGAAAGCCCAGGGGCTGAGTCCCAAATGGCACCCTATTTCCTACATAGTGCACTACTTTTGACCAGAGCCCTATGGGTTACTCTATGGGCCCTGGTTAAAAGTAGTGCCCTATATAGGGAATAGGCGTAGGCGGCGAGGCCAACACAGTTCAGCCACCAGAATTCCATGTAAAGCACAGAAATGGGGAAATGAAAGAAAAAGAAAAAGGACTTGTAAGGTTCTGTATTTGTTTTCTTAGTTCACCTTGTGTTGTTGAAAGTAGCCCTGTTTCTTTGTGTTCTTGAACATAGCCCTGTTTCTTTGTGTTCTTGAACGTAGCCCTGTCTTTCATTTTTGTTCATTGATTTCACCTGTGTTAGTTTCTCACCTGGTCTCATCAGCTCCTTATTTAGTTCAGGTCATTCTGTTTGTGCCTTGTGAGGTATTGATCGTTTTGACTCTACTAAGCCTTTTCCTAGCTCGTTTGTGAGAACCAGTTATAGCCTTCAGTCCTAGTTTTTGATTCTCCTGCCTGTTTGCCTACCTGTGTATGACCATTGCCTGCCTGTGACCATGATTCCTGTCTTCTGTGAAGGCGTAATAAACACCTGCCACGCTCTGCGCGTGAATCTACACAGACAATGACCTGTAATCAACATAATCAACATGTGTATATACATAAATCAAAAATGTTATACAGCACATATATGTTTATATTCTGGTCTCTGACATTGCTCGTTCTGCTATGTCTTCATTTCTTGTTCTTCTCTAACTTTTGGATTCCGTGTGTCTTGTTATTGTATTACTAGATATTACTGCTCTGTTGGCGCTAGAAACATAAGCATTTCGCTGCACCAGCAATAACATCTGCAAATCTGTGCACGAGACCAATAAACTTCGATTTGAACGTGTAATCACTGTGCTAGGTGTAAAATGCCACCGTTAGTCAGTCCCAGTGCCCTCCTGCCTCCGCCACACACTATGTTAAGTGCAGTCATGGCAACTGTTTTTTTCTCAGGGTATAGAGCATTGCCGTCATGGCAACTGTTTTTTTGTCAGGGTATAGAGCATTGCCGTCATGGCAACTGTTTTTATCTCAGGGTATAGAGCATTGCCGTCATGGCTACTGTTTTTTATCTCAGGGTATAGAGCATTGCCGTCATGGCAACTGTTTTTATCTCAGCGTATAGAGCATTGCTGTCATGGCTACTGTTTTTATCTCAGGGTATAGAGCATTGCCGTCATGGCAACTGTTTTTATCTCAGGGTATAGAGCATTGCCGTCATGGCAACTGTTTTTTTCTCAGGGTATAGAGCATTGCCGTCATGGCTACTGTTTTTATCTCAGGGTATAGAGCATTGCCGTCATGGCAACAGTTTTTATCTCAGGGTATAGAGCATTGCCGTCATGGCTACTGTTTTTTTGTCAGGGTATAGAGCATTGCCGTCATGGCTACTGTTTTTTTGTCAGGGTATAGAGCATTGCCGTCATGGTGACTGCTTAGTAGTCTGAGTGCTGTGTCAAACATTATGTTCAGGCTCTACACTTAATTTGAGGCAAATGGAACTGGGTGCTATGCATTTATGAGGGTTTTGTTTTTTGAAAGGTACCTGTCATTGTGATGAGAGGGCAGAGGGATGCGTCTCATTTTAGCTTGGCTGCGTCCTTCTTCATATCACAGGGCAGAGTTCAAACCAGCAAATAGGAAATTGTCAGCTGTTAAGATGTGGGGTGGCGCGTTGAAAGACAAGGAAAAAGAACAGCGTAATTATTTCTGTCCTGTTTCTCTCAGTGTAATTATGATGGCGTGTGATGATGAGGGCCAAACGAAAACGATTAGGAGACGATAATAACAGGAAGTGTCTCTGACAGAAAGCCGGCCCACACTACTCCTGTACCGACCGAGAGTTCTAGACAAATTAACCAAGTGATTCATCCTAATTGTTCTGTCTGCTTAGTACAGGCCCCCATCCCTGCCCGTGGGCCCAGTCGGATCCTCACGCCGGAATGACTAACCCTAATGACCACCCTAACTTACATTCTCTCTGTTCCGAGCCCCTGACGACATACGTGTACATGCAATGCAAGCAGCACGGAAATAACTAAAAATGACAGATTGGAACCCAAATGTGTGACATTGTGACCTTGTCCTATACTGTCAGAAGGAGGAGGAGCCTTCTTTCTAGGCAGTTTTCCAGAGCCACTGTGGTTCCGCTTGTTCTTTGGGGTCGGGTTACTGTAGTAGAGCCCTTTGTGACAACTGGGCTTTATAAATACACTTGATTGATTTTGTTTTCTTTCTCTCTCTCTCTCCCTCCCTCCCCCCCCCTCCCTCCTCCAGGCTTTGAGCTGTCCCACTGCGAAGACCCTGGGGTGCCCCAGTTTGGCTTCAAGGTCAACGACCAGGGACATTTCTCTGGCAGCACCATCACCTACAGGTGCAACCCCGGCTACACCCTGCACGGCAGCGGAGTGCTCAAGTGTATGACCGGAGAGAGACGCGCCTGGGACAACGCCCTGCCCTCTTGCATTGGTAAGGGAACGAAGGAAAATGTGACTGATCAGGACCAACTGTTGACTCTAAGCATAGCGGATTGGTAGACGGCTCTCCCATCTATTTTCAACTACTGTAAGGACACAGTCCCTTTCCCAGTTAACCTAGCAGTACAGGACTGCAGCACAACCCCCCTCCTCTTCTCTCTTCATGTCAAGTTAACCACAGAAGGAAAGAGCTCCCATTTGTCATAATGATTAACTGCGCCATCACTCTACTCTGAGTATAACCAGGCTAGGGGAGGCCCAGACCAGGTTGCACCTCCTACTCTGCATATGTATTAACCAGGCTGGGATGCAGCCAGACCCATGCACTCCTACTCTGATAGTGATTACGTAGGGAGGCTGACCAGACCAGGTAACCCATGCACCTCCTACTCTGCATACTGTATTAACCAGGCTAGGGGAGTGCAGACCAGACCAGGTAACCCATGCACCTCCTACTCTGCATACTGTATTAACCAGGCTAGGGGAGTGCAGACCAGACCAGAATAACTTGACTGGAAGAACTTTATGGCCTATACAGAGCCCTGACCTCAACCCCATTGAACACCTTTGTGATGAATTGGAACGCCTACTGCGAGCAAGGCCTAATCGCCCAACATCAGTGCCCGCCCTCACTAATGCTCTTGTGGCTGAATGGAAGCAAGTCCCCGCAGCAATGTTCCAACATCTAGTGGAAAGCCTTCCCAGAAGAGTGGAGGCTGTTATACCAGCAAAGGGGGGACCAACTCCATATTAATGCCCATGATTATGGAATGAGATGTTCGACGACCAGGTGTCCACATACTTTTGGTCATGTAGTGTAAAAGCAAACAAGAGGCAATAATATAATAATAATAATAATAAGCCATTTAGCAGACGCTTTTATCCAAAGCGACTTACAGTCATGCGTGCATAATTCTTTTTGTGTATGGGTGGTCCCGGGGATCAAACCCACTACCTTGGCGTTACAAGCGCCGTGCTCTACCAGCTGAGCTACAGAGGACCACTCTCACAGGCAAGAGATCTATTATATAAAAAGTATTGCTTCCCCTGGTTTAAGTTAGTAGATTACTTATAGTGCGTACAGCACGCTATTTCACTAATAATATTCAGGATACCGAACCCGTAGATAAAAACCTGTCCCAGGGTTGTTTTTGCAGGCTAGAGAAAACATGCTGTATCAACCGAATATCAGTACAGTACTCCAAGCAGGACACATTTAGCATCATGTCAGTGTTCGTCAAATTGATAGGATGATTAAGTGGGCAGCAGCAAGTTACCGTCTGCTATCTCTCTTTTCTGTTGATTTTAGATGTGTAAGTGGCCAATCAGATGTGATTGAGCACCCTTGAGCAGCCAATGATGTGTGATTGAACGTTTGCCTTTTGAGGAATGAGCTCCATAGGATGTTGGTTAAGACTAGGGGGAGTAAGCGGGATGGGGGCTTCTCTCTCTCTCTCTCGCTCCGGTATCTAAAAACATCTCTAATGTTGAGTATAAATCAACTAGCGATCTGAACCTTGTTATTCAATCTTCATTGAACTGTGCATCCATTGTTTGTCATGTAGACGGATTATGCAAATGAAGCCGCTGAAAGGAAATGCAGATGTGGGCTCCATTAATAATAAAGCCCAAACGTCCTGAAGTCCACCAGGACTGAGGGAGGACTGAGAGAGAGGGAGATGGTAGGAGGACAGAAAGTGAGAGGGAGATGGTGGGAGGACAGAGAGTGAGAGAGAGGGAGATGGTGGGAGGACAGAGAGTGAGAGAGAGAGGGAGATGGTGGGAGGACAGAGAGTGAGAGAGAGGGAGATGGTGGGAGGACAGAGAGGGAGATGTGGGAGGACAGAAAGTGAGAGAGAGGGAGATTGTGGGATGACAGAGTGAGAGAGAGGGATATGGTGGGAGGACAGAGAGTGAGAGAGAAGGAGATGGTGGAGGACAGAGAGTGAGAGAGGAGATGATGGTGGAAGGACAGAGAGTGAGAGAGGGAGATGGTGGGAGGACAGAGAGGGAGTTGGTGGGAGGACAGAGAGTGAGAGAGAGAAGGAGATGGTGGTGAGGGACAGAGAGTGCAGAGAGAAGGAGATTGGGAGGCCACAGAGTGAAAGAGAGGGAGTGGCTGGGAGGACAGAGAGTGAAGAAAGAGGGAGATGGTGGGGAGGACCGAGAGTGAGATGAGAAGGAGATGGTGGGAGGACAGAGAGTGAGAGGAGAGAAGGAGATGGTGGGAGGACAGAGAGTGAGAGAGAAGGATATGGTGGGAGGACAGAGAGTGAGAGGAAGGAGATGGTGGAGGGACAGAGAGTGAGAGAGGAGATGAATGGTGGAAGGACGAGGAGAGGTGGAGATGAGGGGAGATGGTGGGGAGGGACAGAGAGGGAGTTGGGTGGGAGGGACGAGAGAGGTGAGAGAGTAGACGGAGAATGGTGGGGAGGGACAGAGAGTGGAGAGAGAGGAGATGTGGGGGACAGGTGAAAGAGGAGATGGTGGGAGGAAGAGAGGAGGGGGAGATGGGTGGGAGGACAGAGGAGTGAGAGGAGAAGGTAGGATGCGTGGGAGGACAGAGACTGTGAGGGAAGAAGGATAGGGTGGGGGGACAGAGAGTGAGAGCAGAAGGATGATGGGAGGACGAGAGGAGGGTAACGGCTGGGGGACAGAGATTGAGAGAGAAGGAGATGGTGGGAAGGAACCAGAGACGTGACCGAGGAGAGGGAGTTGGTGGGTGGACAGAGAGAGAAGGAGATGGTGGGAGGACAGCGAGTCAGAGAGAAAGAGATAATAAGTGAGTTAGAGAGAGCGAAAGAGATGGTGGGAGGACAGAGTGATAGAGAAAGAGATAATAAATGAGTAAGAGAGAGAGAGATGGTGGGAAGTACAGAGAGTGAGAGAGAGGCAGAGCGATTGGGAGAGAAAGAGAGACAGAGAGATGGCCATTTAAAGTTGGTTATTAAAGTGATAGCGGGGGCAGACTGACAACGAGCAGGTTATGTAAGCCTCAGTAGCCCTGGAAGCAGCCAGCAAGAGTAGCAGTCAGCAAGAGTAGCAGTCAGCAAGAGTAGCAGTCAGTTAAAGAAGCAGTCAGCTAGAGTAGCAGTCAGCAAGAGTAGCAGTCAGCTAGAGTAGCAGTCAGCCAGAGAAGCAGTCAGCAGGCCTCATGATCAGCGCTGGGTTCGTTCCAGGTGGCGGGCCACTGCATCACTCTGGGTTTGGGGGGGTCCGAGGCTGACACTGCCACACTGCCCCCACAGCACCGCCACACTGCCCCCACAGCACCGCCACACTGCCCCAAGCACCGCACACTGCCCCCACAGCACCGCCACACTGCCACCATAGCACCGTCACACTGCACCGCCACACTGCCCCCACAGCACCGCCACACTGCCCCCACAGCACCGCCACACTGCCCCCACAGCACCGCCACACTGCCCCCACAGCACCGTCGCACTGCACCGCCACACTGCCCCCACAGCACCGCCACACTGCCCCCACAGCACCGCCACACTGCCCCTACAGCACCGTCACACTGCACCGCCACACTGCCCCCACAGCACCGCCACACTGCCCGCACAGCACCGCCACACTGTAAGAGATGGTTTTGGGCTGGCTGCTTATTTTACTGACAGCCTTATGGGTCCTGGTCAAAAGTAGTGCACCACATAGGGAATAGGGTGCCATTTGGGACGCACACCAGCAGTCTGCAAACACTCTCGTGGGGCATTATTGATTTACTGAGATGATTCACACGGCAAGGCTTCACATTCGCATGAGGAGCGGTAGACGTGTTACATTTGTTTGCCAGCCAGCCACTAATTATTTTCCCTCAGCTGTGTGTGTGTGTGAGAGAGACAGTGTGAGTAAGTGTGTGTGTGTGCGTGGGTGCGTGCATGTGACTGTGTTCCTGTCCATGGAGGCCTCTATGCGTATACAGCATCCATGTATATGCATATATTTAGGTTTTTGAATGTACGTCACTGCAAAACTGCTACAGTATCTTATTTTATTTCTCTCCGTAGTTAGATATCTATCATGATCTGATTCTATTTCTATGGTCTCTCCATAGCTAGATATCTATCATGTTCTGATTCTATTTATATGGTCTTTCCATAGCTAAATATCTATCATGTTCTGATTCTATTTCTATGGTCTCTCCATAGCTAAATATCTATCATGTTCTGATTCTATTTCTATGGTGTCTCCATAGCTAAATATCTATCATGTTCTGATTCTATTTCTATGGTCTCTCCATAGCTAAATATCTATCATGTTCTGATTCTATTTCTATGGTCTCTCCATAGCTAGATATCTATCATGTTCTGATTCTATTTCTATGGTTTCTCCTTATAGCTGAATGTGGAGGAAAGTTCACAGGCGAGTCTTCAGGACGTATCCTGTCCCCTGGATACCCGTTCCCTTACGACAACAACCTCCGTTGCACCTGGATCATTGAGGTGGACTCTGGCAACATCGTTAGGTACTACTGATAATGAATTAGTATTAATCAAGTATCCTCCTTTTCGTGTATTGTCCTCTCATTTCAACAGCCAAGCAAAGGCCCTGCAAAGGTTATCTTGTTATATCTGTCTAGCAAAAAAAGTACAAGGTTACAGCTCTCTCTCACACTCACACACATACACTGACAGTCACTCTGGATAAGAGTGTCTGCTAAATTACTTTGATAGAAAAGTGAATACACTTTCATGGCTTTGAAAGAGCGAGCATCTAGTCCAGAAAGCAGACATTGTCCAGTGCTTCAGTAAATCAAATCAAAGGTTGTTTGTCACATGCGCCAAATACAACATGCTGACTTACGAGCCCTTAACTAACAATACACAGTTTTTTAAAAGTAAGTAAGAATAATGTACTAAATAAACTAAAGGAACATTTGTAACACAATAAAAATAACAGAGTAGCAGCAGCGTATGTGAAGAGTGTGAAGGAAAGTGAATGTGTGTGTGTGTGTGTGTGTGGCGTCAATATGCGTGTGTGTGTGTTTTGTGTGTGTGTCCATGTGTCCGTGTGTGTGTGTGTTTTGTGTGTGTGTCCGTGTGTGTGTGTGTGTGTGTGTGTGTGTGTGTGTTGGGGTGTCAGTGTAGTATGTGTGAGTGTGTAGTTAGAATCCAGTGAGTGTACTTTGAGCCCTTGCAAGAGAGTCAGTGATAATAAAATAAGGCGGTCAATGCAAATAGTCCTGGTAGCCATTTGATTAACTGTTCAGCAGTCTTATGGCTTGGGGGTAGAAGCTGTTAAAGAGCCTTTTGATCCCAGACTTGGCGTTCCGGTACCATTGGCCGTGCGGTAGCAGAGAGAACAGTCAATGACTTGGGTGGCTGGAATCTTTGACAATTTTTAGGGCCTTCCTCTGACTCCGTCTAGTATAGAGGTCCTGGATGGCAGGAAGCTTGGCCCCAGTGATGTACTGGGCCGTACGCACTATCTTCTGTAGCACTTTGCAGTTGCCATACCAAGCGGTGATGCAACCAGTCAGGATGCTCTCGATGGTGCAGCTGTAGAACTTTTTGAAGATCTGGGGTCCCATGCCAAATCTTTTCAACCTCCTGGGGGGGAAAGAGGTGTTGTAGTGCCCTTTTCACGACTGTGTTGGTGTGTTTGGACCATGATAGGTCCTTAGTGTTGTTCACACCAATAAACTTGAAGCTCTCGACCTTCTCCACTACAGCCCCGTCGATGTGAATGTCTGCTCACATTATCGTGCCGACCTGAACCGTCCATTTTCCGCAACTACGATAGATTGGTAACCAGGCCAATGCGGTACAGATCAGCTTGGCTCTGTTGGGCTCAGCTCAGTGGTGTGACAGTGGTACAGGAGAGGCGCTCTGTGTCCCTCTGTGCTCTCTCCAGTATAGTCTATAGATGCCAGATGCCTCTTTGTTTTCAGTCTGAGAGCCCTGGGCTAGGCAGTCTAATGAGACTCAAATGCTCAATCATATATTAAATTATTAGTCTTGTGTAGAGCCGGAACAGTGTCACCTTGGAGGCGAACAATTTGTCCTGTTCCAACTCCCAGTTGGGCACCTCGTTTGAAATCATATTTTTATTCATGACTTTCTTTATTTTCTTCCACTGATGATCAGCACTGTCTGCTGAATGGAAGGAGTGTTATGACCACGAGCATCAATTACCTGCCTAGTTTTCTGACTTATAGCTTATTGTTTCTCTACGGCATCACTATACCTAGCCAGGTACCTTGGTCTTGCATCACAGCAGGACGTTATGTTATGTTGTATCTAGTTGCATTAAAAAAAGGAGAATGATAAAAACTAGAAGAAATAAAGCCTTAAATGTAGAACATACTGTACCAATATCAATGCAGAACATACTGTACCAATATCAATGCATAACATACTGTACCAATATCAATGTAGAACATACTGTACCAATATCAATGCAGAACATACTGTACCAATATCAATGTAGAACATACTGTACCAATATCAATGTAGAACATACTGTACCAATATCAATGCAGAACAAACTGTGTGTGTTTATATAAGACATTCAGTGATTTGACTTGATTTAAACCTCCTTTACCCCATGAGGAGCAAAGGTCATCCACAAAAAATGATCTCCTACGCGTTCTGTTTTTGAGCAAAATTTCTCAAGTTCCTTCCATGATTATCCACCATCTCTGTTATTACTCTATTATTCTGTGATTTATTGCAAGAGAATGTACTGCAGCCTAGGGTTTGCAAAATTCCAACAACTTTTTCTAAATTCTTCCAACCCCAGTCTGCAGTTCCTGGCCTTTGATACAGAGGCGTCCCATGACATTCTGAAGGTGTGGGACGGTCCTCCTGAGAATGAGATGGCTCTGAGGGAGGTGTCTGGCTCCCTGCTCCCCGAGGGGATACACAGCACCCTCAACCTGGTCACCATCCAGTTCGAGACCGACTTCTACATCAGCAAGTCCGGCTTCGCCATCCAATTCTCAAGTGAGTGGTTTACTGTTTGTGAAAAGTCTATGAAATGTATATCTTAAAAAAGCAAAGATACTCTCTGTGTCTTTCATACAGTCTGCTGGAGTGTACAGGTTTTGGTTATTCTCTGGAATGTTATTGGGCTCAGAGACATTGTTGGTTATGTATTGTGAAGGTCGCTATGAAGGATACTGCAACACTCATTAAATGTCATGTCAGCATTAAGGTGTTATGAATGTCTGTGCATGTACTCTTCAAAGTGATTGCATGAAGCCCCTGCATAGATTTAATTCCCTCCCTGTGTTGTGCCTGCCAGGTTCAGTGGCCACCGCCTGCAGAGACCCGGGGGTCCCCATGAACGGCAGTCGTAACGGGGACGGACGAGAGCCGGGTGACACTGTCACCTTTCTCTGTGACCCCGGGTACGAGCTCCAGGGAGAGTTGAAGATCACATGTATTCAAGTGGAAAACCGTTACTACTGGCAACCCAGCCCTCCTGTCTGCATAGGTGAGTGCTTTAATTACAGATAGGCCCTGGAGATTTTCCTGACCAGAAAAGGACCCTTGGCTCTAGGTATAGCTTTGTATTAATGTGAGTACTAACAGGTAGAGCCAGGGGGTTGTATTAATGTGAATACTAACAGATAGAGCCAGGGGGTTGTATTAATGTGAATACTAACAATGAGCCATGGGGGCTGGATTAATGTGAGGACATAACGGTAGCGCCAGGGCGTGTCTTAATTGAGTACTAACAGATAGAGCTAGGGGGTTGTATTAATGTAGTACTAAACAGATAGAGGCAAGGGGGTTGTATTAATGTGGGAATAACAGATAGAGCCAGGGGGTGGTATTAAGGGAGTACTAACAGATAGAGCCAGGGGGTTGTATTAATGTGAGTACGTAACAGATAGAGCCAGGGGTTGTATTAATTGAGCTACTAACAGTAGAGCCAGGGGGTTGTATTATGTGAACACTAACAGATAGAGCTAGGGGGTGGTATAAGGTGAGTACTAACAGTAGAGCCAGGGGGTTGTATGAAAGGGGTAGTACATAACAGACCAGAGCAGGGGGTTTATTAATGTGAATACGAACAGATAGAGCCAGGGGGTGGTATTAATGTGAGTACTAACAGATAGAGCCAGGGGTTGTATAATGTTGAGTACAACAGATCGAGCCAGGGGTTGTATTAAGGTGGAGTACTAACAGGTAGAGCCAGGGGGTTGTATTAAGTGAATACTAAAGATAGAGCCAGGGGGTTGTATTAATGTGAGTACTCACAGATAGAGCCAGGGGGTGGTTTAATGTGACTACTAACATATAGAGCCAGGGGGTTGTATAATGTGAGTAAAACAGATAGAGCCAGGGGATTGTATTAATGGATCTAACAGATGCCAGACAGGGGGTTGTATTAATGTGATTCTAACAGGTAGAGCCAGGGGGTGTATAATGTGAGTACTAACAGATAGAGCCAGGGGGTGTATTAATGTGAGTACTAAACAGATAGAGCCAGGGGGTGTATTAATGTGAGTACTAACTGAAGAGCCAGGGGGTTGTATGAATGTGAGTACAACAGGTAGAGACAGGGGTTGTATTAATGTGAAGTACTAACCCCAGATAGAGCCAGGGGGTTGTATTAATGTGAGTACTAACAGATAGAGCCAGGGGGTTGTATAATGTGGGGGATTACTAAATGATAGAGCCAGGGGGTTGTATAAGTGAGTACTAACAGATAGAGCCAGGGGGTGTATTAATGTGAGTACTAAACAGGTAGAGCCAGGGGTTGTATTAATGTGAATACTAACAGATAGAGCCAGGGGGTTGTATTAATGTGAGTACTAACAGATAGAGCCAGGGGGTTTTATTAATGTGAGTACTAACAGATAGAGCCCGGGGGTTGTATTAATGTGAGTACTAACAGATAGAGCCAGGGGTTGTATTAATGTGAGTACTAACAGATAGAGCCAGGGGGTTGTATTAATGTGAACACTAACAGATAGAGCCAGGGGGTTGTATTAATGTGAGTACTAACAGATAGAGCCAGGGGTTGTATTAATGTGAATACTAACAGATAGAGCCAGGGGGTTGTATTAATGTGAGTACTAACAGATAGAGCCAGGGGATGGTATTAATGGAATACAACAGATAGACCAGGGGTTGTATTAATGTGATACTAACTGATAGAGCCAGGGGGTGTATAAAGTAGGTACTAACCAGATAGAGCCAGGGGTGTTTAATGGAGTATAAAGGTAGAAGCCAGGGGGTTGTATTATGTGAATACTAACGATAGAGCCAGGGGGTTGTATTACCGTGAGTACTAACGATAGAGCCAAGGGGGTTTTATTCATGTGAGTTACTACAGATAGAGCCCGGGGGTTGTATTAATGTGGTACTAACAGATGAGCCAGGGGGTTGTATTAAGGAGTACTAACAGATAGAGCAAGGGGAGTTGTATTAATGTGAATACTAACAGATAGAGCCAGGGGGTTGTATTAATGTGAGCACTAACAGGTAGAGCCAGGGGGTTGTATTAATGTGAGTATTAACAGATAGAGCCAGGGGGTTGTATTTAATGTGAGTACTAACAGATGAGCAGGGGTGTATTAATGTTAGTACGAACAGATAGGAGCCAGGGGTTGTATTAAAGTGAGACTAACAGAAGAGCCAGGGGGTGTATTAAAGTGAGTACTAAACAGTAGAGCCAGGGGGTTTATTAATGTGAGGACTAACAGATAGAGCCAGGGGGTTGATAATGTGAGTACTAAACAGGTATAGGCCCGGGGTTGTATTAATGTGAATACTAACAGATAGAGCCAGGGGTTGTATTAAAGTGAGTATCAGATAGAGCCAGGGGGTTGTATTAATGTGAGTACTAACAGATAGAGCCAGGGGTTGTATGAATGGAGTATAACAGATAGAGCCACGGGTTGTATTATGTTGTACATAAACAGAGAGAGCCAGGGGTTGTATTAAAGTGAGTACTAACAGATAGAGCCAGGGGGTTGTATTAATGTGAGTACTAACAGATAGAGCCAGGGGGTTGTATTAATGTGAGTACTAACAGATAGAGCCAGGGGGTTGTATTAATGTGAGTACTACAAGTAGAGCCAGGGGGTTGTATTAAAGTGAGTACTAACAGATAGAGCCAGGGGGTTGTATTAATGTGAGTACTAACAGATAGAGCCAGGGGGTTGTATTAATGTGAGTACTAACAGACAGAGCCAGGGGGTTGTATTAAATGAGTATAAAAGATAGAGCCAGGGGTTGTATGAAGTGAGTACTACAGATAGAGCCAGTGGGTTGTATATGTGGGTCTAACAGCTAGAGCCAGGGGTTGTATTAAGGTGAGTACTACAGATAGAGCCAGGGGGTTGTATTAATGTTCTTTTTTTTGAGTATAACAGATAGAGCCAGGGGGTTGTATTAAAGTGAGTACTAACAGATAGAGCCACTGGTTTCCCGTGACCACTATGTGTGAGCAGAGCAGGGAAAAACTATTTGCTCTCATTATAGACTTCTGTTGAGGTGAGTGCTTACAGGTAGGTCCAGGAGTTTTCCTCTTTCTAACCTTACGTTCCTCTCAGTAGTATTCTGTTTGTTCTGTTGAGTCCAATTCATCTATAGAAGCTGTAACAAGGGGAGAGCTTTGTGACAAGTATCATATAGCAGCCCGTTGGTGTTGCAGAGAGACTCAGACCATGCTACCCAGCCCCAGCCTCCTTGCCTGCTAGTTAACATATTGAATTAATATCCCTGAGTGTTGCCAGAACTTGCTGGCGCCAAGCAGCACTTAAGCTCTAGAGATGACTGACTGTCATCGTGCTCCAACCATTTGAATGAGGCAAGACATTAAATGAATTTCAATTTATTGGACGCAGATCCAAAGAGATAGTGTGCTTATAACAAGTACCTTGACGAAACCTCAAGGATTCTTGTCATCTCTTGATCAAGGGTGTCTTGTTTTAATGTGGCTTATAACGTCTGATCTCTCAAAACTAACTACATCAGCTGTTGTTATGGTTGCAAAATTCCGGTAACTTTCCCAAAAATGTCCATGTTTTCCAGAATTCCTGTTAGGAGGATTCCGGATTTCCCGCGTATTCCCTTCTGATTCCGGGAATCTTTCAACCAAGATTTTCTGAAAACCTGGTAATTCTGGGAACGTTACCGGAATTTTGCAGTCCCAAACACCATTTTATCTCCACAGAACTACATGTGTTTTTCCCTGTGGCATAACAGAGACAGTTAATGAGTACACGTTACATTTTCTCACTTCTCTTCTTCTCTTTCAGCCCCCTGTGGAGGAAACTTGACTGGATCCAACGGCTTCATCCTGTCTCCCAACTTCCCCCACCCCTACCCCCACAGCAGGAACTGTGATGGCTAATAGCTGTCAACCTCGGACTATGTCCTATCACTGGCATTCATCAGGTACGGGTCAAGCACTTTTAGGCAGATAATAGGTGTAAATGTTTCCCTTTTTTTTTTTTTTTGTTTCCTCCAAAGGGATTAAGGCCTACTCTCCCTATCAATTCCACTGCGTGCACACACACACACACACACACACACACACTCTACACCGCCACCAAGGTGGACATTAATGGGCATTTTGTCACGACCAAGGGGCGTGAGGTGATTATACAATGGTAACTGCTGACTGCTATTACTGTTATATTAAGAGGCGATTCATGTCTTAGGCGGGTAATTAGCTACCCCAGCTGGATTTCTTTCCTCACTTTGTCAGTAATGAACCCATAGTTGGCCTTCCTCAGCTCCCCGCTTTTAAGATGCTGTATCTAGACGTCCCAGCCTGCATTGACTGATGCGGCCACTTAATGGAAGAAAAAAGGAAGAACTTGTGTTTCACACCTAAATAGTCCTGTTAATTGTGTCAATTTTTTATTTAACCTTTGGCGGCCGCAAAGGCTGTCCCCCACAGACAGAGGTCAATGGTCAAAACAGGGTTAAGTTTGACTGCTGGTAGGCTACATAGTGTGGCGTATAGCTGACAGATGTTACCGCTGATGCTACTGTATAGGCCTCTAAGTTAAACTTAAAGCTATGAAATGAGGCCTCCCTCTGCCTTTCCACTACCAGCAGCTAGCTAGCTCCTCCTACTCCTCCCTCTGCCTTTCCACTACCAGCAGCTAGCTAGCTCCTCCTACTCCCCCTCTGCCTTCCACTAACAGCAGCTAGTAGCTCATCCTAATTCCCCTCTGCCCTTTTCCATACCAGAAGATAGCTAGCTCATCCTAATCCCCCCCTCTGCCTTCCACACAAGCAGCTGCTAGCTCCTCCTACCTCCCCCCTCTGCCTTTCCACTACCAGCAGCTAGCTAGCTCCTCCTACTCCTCCCTCTGCCTCTCCACTACCAGCAGCTAGCTAGCTCCTCCTACTCCTCCCTCTGCCTTTCCACTACCAGCAGCTAGCTAGCTCCTCCTACTCCCCCCTCTGCCTTTCCACTACCAGCAGCTAGCTCGCTCCTCCTCTCCCCCCTCGCCTTACCAATACCAGCAGAGCTAGGCTCCTCCTACTCCCCCCTCTGCCTTTCCCACTACCAGCAGCTAGGCGAGCTCCTCCTACTCTTCCATCTGCTTCCCTACCCAGCAGATAGCTAGCTCCTCCTACTCCCCCCTCTGGCGTTCCCACTACAGCAGCTAGCTAGCTCCTCCTACTCCCCCTCTGCCTTTCACTACCAGCCGCTAGTAGCTCCTCCTAATCCCCCTCTGCCTTTAACTAACAGCAGCTAGCTAGCTCCTCCATCCTCCCTCTGCTTCCACACCAGCAGCTAGTAGCTCCTCCTACTCCTACTCTGCCTCTCCACTACCAGCAGCTAGCTAGCTCCTCCTACTCCTCCCTCTGCCTTTCCACTACCAGCAGCTAGCTAGCTCCCTACTCCCCTCGCTTCCACTACCGAGCTAGCTTAGTCCTCCTACCCTCCCTCTGATTTCCAACTACCAGCAGATAGCTAGCTCTCTACTCCACCACCTCTGCCGTTCCACTACCAGGCACTAGCTAGCTCCGCTACTCAACCCTCTGCATTTCACTCAAGCAGCTAGCTAGCTCTCCTCCTAATCCCCCCTTCTGCCTTTCCACTACAGCAGCTAAGCTGATCCTCCTACCCTCCCTCTGCCCTCTTCCACTACCACGCAGTAGCTAGCTCCTCCTACTCCTCCCTCTGCCTTGCATTACCAGCAGCAGCGAGCTCCCCTACTCACCCTCTGCCTTCCACTACAGCAGCTAGCTAGCTCCTCCTAATCCTCATCTGCTCTCCAATACCAGCAGCTAGCTAGTCTCTAATCCTCCCTAGCCTTCATACCAGCAGCTAGCTAGCTCCTCCTACTCCCCCCTCTGCCTTTCCACTACCAGCAGTAGCCTAGCTCCTCCTACTCCCCCTTGACTTCACTACCAGCAGCTAGCTAGATCTCCTACTCTCCCTCTGCATTTACACTACAGCAGCTAGCTAGCTCCTCCTACTCCCCCTCTGCCCTTTCCAATACCAGAAGATAGATAGCTCTCTACTCCCCCTCTGCCTTTCCCTACCAGCAGCTAGCTAAGCTCTCATAATCCCCTCTGCCTTTCCACTACCAGCAGCTAGCTAGCTCCTCCTACTCCTCCCTCGTGACCTCCACTACCGCAGCTAGCTAGCTCTCCTACGACTCCTCTGCTTTCCATACGCAGCTAGCTAGCTCATCCTACTCCCCCTCTGCCCTTTCCACTCCCAGCAGCTAGACTAGCTACTCCTACTCCCCCATCTGCCTTTCCCCTACCAGCGCTAGCTAGCTCCTCCTACTCCTCCCTGCTTTCCACTCCCAGCAGCTAGCTAGTCCTCTACCCCCCCTGCTGCCTTTCCACACAGCAGCTAGCTCGCTCTCCTAATCTTCCTCTGCCGTTCCACTACAGCAGCTAGCTAGCTACTCCTACTCCTCCATCTGCTTTCCAATACCAGAGCTAGCTAGTCCTCTACTCCTCCCTCTGCCTTTCACTACCAGCAGTAGCTAGCTCCTCTACTTCCCCCTCTGCCTTCCACTACAGCAAGCTAGCTAGCTCAGCTACTACTCCCTCTGGCCGTTACAACGACCCGCAGCTAGCTAGCTCCTCCTTCTCCTTCCCTATGCCTTTCCAATACCAGCAGCTAGCTAGCTCCTCTCTCCTCCATATGCATTTCCACTACCAGCAGCTAGCTAGATCCTCCTACTCCCCCTCTGCCTTTCCATACCGCAAAGCTAGCTAGCTCCTACTACTCCCCCCTCTGCCTTTCCACTACCAGCAGCTAGCTAGCTCCTCCTACTCCTCCCTCTGCCTTTCAAACGACCAAGCAGCTAGCTAGCTCCTCCTACTCCTCCTTGCTTTCCACTACCAGCAGCTAGCTAGCTCCTCCTACTCCCCCCTCTGCCTTTCCACTACCAGCAGCTAGCTAGCTCCTCCTACTCCCCCTCTGCCTTTCCACTACCAGCAGCTAGCTAGCACCTCCTACTCCTCCCTCTGCCTTTCCACTACCAGCAGCTAGCTAGTCATCCTTACTCCATCCCTCTGACTTTCCACTACCAGCAGCAGCTAGGCTTCCTCCTACTCCCCACTCTGCCTCTCCACTACAAGGCAGCTGGCGAGCTCCTCCTAGCCCCCTCTGCCTTTCCACTACCAGCAGCTAGCTAGCTCCTCCTACTCCCCCTCTGCCTTTCCACTACCAGGCAGCTAGCTAGCTCCTCTATCCCCACTCTGCCTCTCCACTACAGCAGCTAGCAGCTCCTCCTCCTACCCCCTCTGCCTTTCTACCAGCAGCTAGCAGCTCTCCTAACTCCCCCTCGCCTTTCCACTACCAGCAGCTAGCTAAGCTCCTCCTACTCCCCTCGGCCTTTCCATACCAAGAAAGCAGCTCGCTCCTCCTACTCCCCCTCTGCCTTTCCACTACCAGAGCTAGGCGAGCTCCTCCTACTCCTCCCTCTGCCTTTTCCACTACCACGCAGCTAGCTAGCTCCTCTACTTCTTTTTTTCTTCTCCTACTTCTACTCTGCCTTTCCCTACAGCAGCTAGCTAGCTCCTCCTAACCCCTTCCTCCCTTGCCTTTCCACTACCAGCAGCTAGCTAGCTCCTTCCTGTCCTCCCTCGGCTTTCCAATACCAGGCAGCTAGCGAGACATCTACTCTCCTCTGGCCTGTCATACCAGCAGCTAGCTAGCCCCTCCTACTCCCCCCTCTGCCACCACATACCAGCAGCTAGCTAGATCCTCCTACTCCTCCCTTGCAATGTTCTCACTACCAGCAGCTAGCTAGCTCCCCATCCCCCTCTGCCTCACCAGACCAGCAGCTAGAGAGAAGAGAGAGAGCCGAGAGAGAGAGAGAAGAGAGAGAGAGAGAGAGAGAGAAGAGCGAGAGGAGAGAGAGCAGAGAGAGAGAGGAGAGAGAGAGAGAGGAGCATCTCCTTCAAGCTGGTGCTAGGGTTGGAATTCCGAGGATACTGTACATTGGCTGCTTTCGCCCTCCCTCTCTGTCCATCTATATACTGCAGCAGTGAGAGGGAGAGAAGGAAGGGGAAGAGGGATGAGAAGAAAAAGGAAAGGATGAGGGGAGTAGGGCCACTACAACAAGAGCGGGGGCGAGCGAGAGCGCGCGGGGGAGCGCCAGGGGAGGAGAGAGCAGGGGGCAGAGCGAGATGAGAGAGACAGGAGAGAGAGAAGAGAGAGAGCGAGAGCGAGAGAGAGAGAGAGAGAGAGAGAGGAGAGAGAGCGAGAGAGAGGGATAGAGATGAGAGGGAGAGAGAGCGAGAGACAGAGAGAGCGAGCGAGTCTCTCTCTCTCTCTCTCTCTCTCTGCTCTCTCTCTCTCTCTCTCTCTCTCTCTCTCTCTCTCTCTCTCATCTCTCTCTCTCCCTCTCTACTCTCTCTCTCTCTCTCTCTGTGTGGTGTGTGTGTTTCTCCTCATTTTGCCAGGTCACTCCTTAATGAATACGTAGTCTCACGACCAGGAAACATTCTTTTTGTTAACAACAAGCTAAGTAGACAAGGGAGCTGTTTCCTTTTTGTCACAATCAAAATGACACTGTATAGTCTATTGTTGTATTCGTTAGCCTTGCTATTAAAGCATAGTGTTTTATATTCAAGTTGAAAGCTAGTCACTGCAGTGATGATGACACAGCAGTTTTCAAGCGACCAGTAATCGGGCAGCCATTTTGGTTTTCACCAGTTAGACAGTTTAGTCTTGTATGTAAAGTGAGCTCTGCTCTCTCTTCTCATTTGAATGGTCCTATCCCCCAACACAAGGGAAGTAAATAACACAGCACATTGGAACAGTGGCTATTGGCAGTGGGACAGTGGTACAGGCCCTCAACCAGGGTGAAAATCCTTTTGTTCCGTTCCGTCTCGTAGACTTCCATTACACACTTCATTACTGACACCATTCTTTCCCAAAAAGACATGAAATATGTCCCCAATGAAAATAGAGAAAATTAATAATAATATATTGTAAAAAAAAAAAGTGTCCCAATGCATTGGCAGGGTTGGCATGACAATGAGTAAGGGGCCTAGCACCAAGCCCTGGGGGGACACCCTTTGTATCTGCAGCAGAGTAATATTATTTTGTAAAAAGTGACCCATTGCCATTGCATTGGCAAGGTGGCAAATTTAGATTTCATTGTCATTGTCGCCAAATTGGGTATTATCATTGCTGCGTATTCAATTAGCAACCAAGCTAATTGTTTGTTGAGTGACAGCTCCAGACGCTAAGCAAAAAAAATAAAAATAAAAGATCTGAACACATATGGTTATCAAAATGTAATTACTTTATTAATATGGTGTAGAGCAGGAGTTTTTCCCCCCCACATGTTTGGATTGCTATTATTCCAATAAAGACTTTAGCTTTAGTTTGCAGGCTCATGGAAAGTGGGGTATATAAATTAGCAATACTCTTCGGGAAATATAAAAATAAGAAAATACACTCCCAATCTTCTTATGAAAATGAGCTTCCTGTTACAAATATGTGTGTTTTAGGGGTTTTTCCCCCCACATCACACAAACACACACACAAAAAACACACACCCCACACACACAAATTATTCTTGGAGATGCAGAGGATGGCAGTGACATTTGTTAGTCCCGTTTTGTGGTGAGTTCAGTCAATAGGATAATGCCTAATTTTTGACATACCAAAGAAATACACTCCCTGGGTATTAAGACTAGGTTAGGTCCTAGCATTAGTGTTTTCCCACGCAGAGATAAGGGTTAATGAATGGAGCAACTAGCAGCGTTAAAGGGGGATATCATGGTGTGTCTGGCTCTCCAGCCCGATCAATAGAGAGGAGAGGTACGGATGATGTGAGGGAATCTATTATTAAGCATCTGTGGCATGGGTAGGAAACTGGCATTGAGGGCATATGCCAGAGTGATCGATTTCTCTCACTATAGGTCTACGACAAACTACTCTCGATTCTTAACATAAGAGCTTTATCTCTCGCGCGGAAACCCACACCACAAACACTCTATCTCTCACCCCCATAGATACTCTCTATTTCCATCGACTCTCGTCGCTCTCGCTATCTCTCTCTCTCTCTCTATTGTATCTTCTCTCTTTTATATTCTCTTGTCTCTTCTCTCTCGTGATATTATCTCTCTGTATTCTGCTAGCTCTCTCTCTTACGCTTGATTTGCAACCACCCCCCGCTTCTCCGATCCCTACCTTTCTCTAGTTTCAGCATCGAGCATAACTATGATTGATAATCTATGATGGGCCAGACAGCAACAGCCCTCTGATTGGCAGCTTTCAGGACAGTAAGCTTCCGGAGAGGATCGAGAGCAGCTCCAACACCATGCACCTGGCCTTCCGCAGTGACGGCTCTGTCAGCTACACCGGTTTCCACCTGGAATACAAAGGTAGGATGGCATCATGTTCTCCTAGATTCTTAGATGTACGTTTTTTTCTCTTAGAGGGAGGTTTCTTCTTAGCTTCTTAGCTACCAAAGTTAGAAATGTACATTGTTTCCTTTTTTTTTTTTTTGCATGTGCAGAGTTTAAGGAGAATCCAAATGCTTTCTATCTCTAGATTATACTGTCAGTAGGGGTAGATGTTTCTAGCATTTGAATGATGATTTGGTTAAACTCTTCTTTACTCTGATCAAGATGAAACTCCCTCACTGCCTGTGTTACCTGCTCCTGTTCACACTACTGTTAGAGGTTATTCCTGATATGTATATATTTCTATCCCCTCTTTAGCCAAGCTGCGTGAGTCGTGCTTCGACCCAGGCAGTGTGATGAACGGGACCAGGCTGGGCAGCGACTACAAGCTAGGTTCCACCGTGACGTTCTACTGCGAGCCGGGCTACGTTCTCCAGGGCTACTCCACTCTCACCTGCATCATGGGGGACGAGGGCAGGCCTGGCTGGAACAGGGTTCTACCCAGCTGTCAAGGTATGGAGCATACCAACGTACCTGTTGAAGCTAGAGATATGGACACAGCTGTGTACTGGCTGGAACAGGGTTCTACCCAGCTGTCAAGGTATGGAGCATACCAACGTACCTGTTGAAGCTAGAGATACGGACACTAGCTGTGTACTATGCACAAAATAAAATAGGATAAGAGCGTCTGCTAAATGACTAAAATGTAAATGTAAAATGTGAGTGGGCAACCACAATTTTAAATATATTTGTTAGTAAGTTTACTGAGCAGGGGGAGGGAATCCAATACAAATGTAGGAAGGAAGGAAGGAAGGAAGGAAGGAAGGAAGGAAGGAAGGAAGGAAGGAAGGAAGGAAGGAAGGAAGGAAGGAAGGAAGGAAGGAAGGAAGGAAGGAAGGAAGGAAGGAAGGAAGGAAGGAAGGAAGAAGAAGATTGGATTTAGTAGCCAGTCTAAAACAATCATTATGGCTTACAGCACACATGCAAGCACACAGAAGATAACCGTAAGACTAGACTGCTGAGCTGTTTGTGTAATCCTTATGTGTGTTTCATCCTAGTCATTTCTGGGCAGATGTCGCATGGCCAATGTATCGAATAAATGGGTAACCGTACATGTTCCCTCCGAAGGTCAAAGCAGGTGTTGAGCTCTGCTCTGTGTGTCTGTTTGTTTCCTCCAGCGCCGTGTGGGAGTCGCTCCACAGGGTCAGAGGGCACGGTGCTGTCTCCTAACTTCCCCCACAACTACACCTCAGGACACAGCTGCGTAAACTCCATCTCCCGTGCCACGAGAGTTCGGTAAGGACACAGTACTCATACTTTTGTTGGAGAGACATTTGGTGTGGACACAAGTGACCTCACACTTTTATTCCAGAGACTTTTGGTGTGAAATCAGCTCAATGTGGTGTGAATTAATTTTATTTAACATTTTTGTCAATAGACTTCATTAAAACTACAATCGCAGTCTTCTTTGATGCATTTTTAAAGCCAAACACCAATGTTGAGTTCAACGCATCCATCAGCCTTTTCGTCTTGATAGTAGGCTACCATTTGATGGCATGGGAATATTTGAACACAGACCTCTGCTGTATAAATATTTTTGAGTATTCATCAGTATTAGTCCCCTAGAGGTGGCAACAGGAAAGCCTTCAGAGCAGGTTCTTTATAGGATTCGCTGAAAGTTTTGTGGGTTCAGACACACCAAAGTACTGCTCACCTGTAACTAAGCAATGAGCCATCGATTTGCTGTCACGTGAGGCTTTAAAAGCTTTTTGATGCCATAAGGACTTGTCTCGCAGGAGGGTGAGATATAAATAGCTGCTTTTACACAGGCAGCCCAATTCTGATCATTTTTCCACTAATTGGTCTTTTGACAAATCATATCATATCTTTTCACATCATATCTTTTTCAGAGCTGATCTGATTGGTAAAAATTGACCTGTTTCAGCGTTCTAGTCTGTTATATCTCAGTGTTATATTTCTTTTCTTGCACTTGTGTCACGTTCGTTCATCGACGGGTCAGACCAAGGCGCAGCGTGATATGCATACATGTTTATTTGGAACGAATAAACAAGCGACAAAACAACAAACGAAACGTGAAGTCCATGGTACACAAACAACATACCTTACACGGAACAAGATCCCACAACCCACTAGTGCCAATAGGCTGCCTAAGTATGGTCCCCAATCAGAGACAACTAGCGACAGCTGCCTCTGATTGGGAACCACACCGGCCAACATAGAAATACACATACTAGAATATCAATTTCAATCAATTTTATTTTATATAGCCCTTCTTACATCAGCTAATATCTCGAAGTGCTGTACAGAAACCCAGCCTAAAACCCCAAACAGCTAGTAATGCAGGTGTAGAAGCACGGGTGGCTAGGAAAAAACTCCCTAGAAAGGCGAAAACCTAGGAAGAAACCTAGAGAGGAACCAGGCTATGAGGGGTGGCCAGTCCTCTTCTGGCTGTGCCGGGTGAAGATTATAACAGAACCATGCCAAGATGTTCAAAAATGTTCATAAGTGACAAGCATGGTCAAATAATAATCAGGAATAAATCTCAGTTGGCTTTTCATAGCCGATCATTAAGAGTTGAAAACAGCAGGTCTGGGACAGGTAGGGGTTCCATAACCGCAGGCAGAACAGTTGAAACTGGAATAGCAGCAAGGCCAGGCGGACTGGGGACAGCAAGGAGTCACCACGGCCGGGTAGTCCCGACGTATGGTCCTAGGGCTCAGGTCTCTCAGTTGGCTTTTCATAGCCGATCATTAAGAGTTGAAAACAGCAGGTCTGGGACAGGTAGGGGTTTCGTAACCGCAGGCAAGAACAGTTGAAACTGGAAATAGCAGCAAGGCCAGGCGGATGGGGACAGCAAGGTTCATCATGCCGTTAGTCGACGGG